TGATTTTTCTAAAGTTCAGTATAGCAGTATACAGCTAAAAACTCGAAATAAAGATCGAATGATTTTTAGCCGACACAACCTAAACGAGAATCGAAGGTCTCGTCAATAGTAGTACAACGGTAAAAAGACAGACGAAAACAGACTTCGGATAAAGAAGTTATGAATTTTTAACAGATTTTCCTGTCCCGGTTTGTTAAAAATAATAATATTAAAAATAAAGTCAAAATTAGCCGACAAAGTCTAAACGAAAGTCGTAGAGTATAATTTTACCTACGCGTGCATATAAAGAACGTCGAAAACGGAGCTCGTATGACAAAGTTATGAATTTCGCAAGTTTTAGGCACAAATATCGAGAAATCCTTGAAAACCGGGTAATTTCGCATGAACAGTAACCACCACGTCACCTCGCACCCCAGCCGCCTAGTTTCCGCCTCGTTTCAGTCACTGATTCGGCCGAAGCTGCGGTCCGATGGGAGACCGACGCGCCTCGCACCTGTGACGTCTTTCGAGCTCGGACGCGTGTGCAGCTCTGCTATCCGACGCGTGCCCCTTCCTTCGCATGCAGCCCGACGCGTGGCCTCCTCCTCTCCCTCGGTCCAAGACTTCGGCCTTGTGAGATCTCCCGGTTCCAACACCAATTTCACCCCAAATTTCATACTTTTTCACCTCTTTCACTCCCACAAACTTACTTACAACCCCCAAAGCCCCGGTATCATATCTAAAACCCTAAGCAAGCCTCAAAGCCCCGAGATTCTCGATAAAAACAACCTTCTCCAGTCGAAACTCTGCCCGAGTAAAGCCGGTTTTTCATCAAATAAACTCCTTTCCAGAAAACGAAACGCTATCCAAATCACCACGTATCAAGTGAGTTCATACCCCCGTATTTTCATAATTTTTACTTTTTTAGGGGAGGGGGGGGGGGGAATACAAGTATAACAAAAAAAATTTGTGTTACAAACAAATGATTTCCAATTTGTGATAAAATGACATTAAGTCATCAAAAATATTTCAAAATATTAAACTCTTTTATAAACTTATATTTTTCCCCAAAAATCATATATATATATATATATATATATATATATATATATATATATATATATATATATATATATATATATATATATATATATATAAGATTTAAAAGGCTTAGGACTGATAACTCATTTTGGGTCCTTTTCCTTGTCTGGATGTGGACTTATAGTATCAGTCATTTGTCTGAATATCGTTCAAATATTACTTATATATATAATTGTATATGTATATACATATAAAAGTTATTTCATTCAATTTAAATACCCTTTGTAACATGTTGAGCAAGGGGTTACATTCAAAAACAGTTAATACCAAATTCAGAAAGTACATATAATTTATAATAAGTATAATTTATGATACATAGAACATTAATTCACGATTCGAGTATACTACAATACACCGTTTTACAAGAGACAAGGGTTTGATTCAAAACTAATCAAGGATATACAACTTACAGATACATGTTAAGAATACTAAATCAGGAGTATACAATCAATCATTATTTCGGGATGATTGGGTTTTCATAACTATTATACACGTAACGTCTATATGTTTTTTATGAGTCATTTGATTCAGGTTGTTTAATTCATTTAAACAATATAGTTAAAGTCCTGATATTATAACCAGAATCTCCGGTCAGGGGATCGAAACAAGTTGTGTGTAGATCTATATTGGGATTGACAACCCCGCACTCAGGCTGCTAGCTACAGTAAGGCATACACGCCAATGAGTGACAATTGTTATCAACAGTTTAAACACCTACAAAGCATTTGCTTCAGGCCATCTAGTCTCAGTATGATTATAATAACTCATTAAAAGGGTATTAACAATATGTTAGTGTATAATTAACTAAAACATGAGTATATTTTCAAAGTACTAGTTTACAGAGATACAGTTTACAGTATTACAATACAATTTACAATAACAGCTGCTGGAACCAGACACTCTCACTTTTACAAGTTTTACCAAAAGGATACAAACACAGAACAATGGTTTACAAACAAAACGGTTTTATGAGATTAAAACTATTTTTGATATACAGCAGAAAATATAGGCTTTTCTGGAACAGCTTACAGATTTATGGAACAGAAAACATACTTTTAAACATAAATACTTATGCACTCACTCAACTTTATGTTGATACTCTCTTTTCAAATTACTTGTATTCTCAGGGAAACAATAAACAGGTACTCCCTGAGCTTTTTGAGAAGATGGAGCTATTTGAGTCATATCTTTTGTGTTTTGCTATAACTATTTTAGTGTCAATATACAGTGATTGACCACATGTAAATACTTTTAATTTTAAATGCAATGGTTGTTTGTACTTTGATTACTATGATGCATGTGTTGTGATACTACAAATGAAGTCCTCCACCCCCGGACGTTTCCGCCGTTTGGTTTGGGGGTGTGACAACCATCCTCTGTTGATCACTTGGTCTCCTATACTGATGTTGATTGGGTCGGTTGTCCTCATACTCGTCGGTCTACCTCTAGGTTTTATGTCTATCTTGGTGATAATCTCGTGTCTTGGTCGTCCAAATGTCAACATGTAGTTTCTCGATCCTTAGTTGAGGCTGAGTATCGTGGGGTAACTAATGTTGTTGCTGAAGCTTCTTGGTTTCGCAATCTTCTTCTCGAGTTATCTTGTCCATTATGTAAAGCTACAGTTGTGTTTTGTGATAATGTGAGTGTCATGTATTTATCTTCTAACCCTGTACAACATCAACATACAAAGCATGTAGAAATAGATTTACAGTTTGTTAGGGAGTCTGTTTCTATTAAACATGTGTGTGTCTTACATGTGTGATCAACTCAACAGTTTGCATATATTTTTACCAAGGGTCTTCCTACTCAGTTGTTTCTTGATTTTCAGGACAATTAAAACATTTGTAAACCCCATGTTCAAACTGAAGGCTGTGTTAGTTTATATACGTTTTTACTCTTTTGTATAATGTAGGGACCCCTTTTGTAATATATATATATATATATATATATATATATATATATATATATATATATATATGAGGTGATATCAAGAAACAAGATAATCCTCAAGAACCTGGACATGACTCAATATGTTAAAGATAATAACAAAAATAAGTATAGAAATTATCATTTATAACAATGTTATACAACAACACAACATTTCAACAACAAATAACCCTATAATAGTAATGTCATAAGATACAACACCAACAAATATAATATTTATACGATATGTGGACATCAATGCAAATAAATGCATAATGCCCACCCATTCCTCTATCATCACAACAAATCTAATTAAGATTTTCATAACTCACATAGTTACATTGATCGTAAGATAGCTGAAAAAGATTATGATGTATTGAAATGAAGAAGAATGAAGCTAGGGTTTTTTTTATTATCGATAACTAAGAAACAATAGGGAAACATTTGAGATAAGCAATTTGTTAATTCTTATGATTTTTATCAGTGATTATAAAGCTTGGTTGAAAACCAATTGTTTATAGTATGATTTGATATTTTGTTTCTTTTTTTACGGCAATATTTATGTTTGGTTTCACCAAATCCATCAAAAGAACAAAACTAAATCATCAAAAACCCTTGTCATGTAAAAGAAAAAGGATTCTAGATTGCATAAGAAACAAAACAACCCAGAATACCAACAATGACACATGACGATTAGGTGTGCTCTAACAAAAATAGTATCTTGATCAAACAGTGATTGCATAACCCAGTAAATTGAGTTTTATGATTTCTTGGTTTGTTTGTTAGGGTGCTACCGGTTCTGGTACATGTGATATGTGCAGTCATGGGGTATTTTTGTGTTTCTAAAACTTAACATTACATAGCTAATGTGCTTAAACTGGATGTTTAATTATAACACTAGTATCTAGAGTTTATAGGAATATACTCTATAAATATAACACATAACAATGTAGTAATGAAACTATAATACCATCATCAATTTATGCATCATCTTAGCAGCACATTTAGATGTAGCATATAACATCATACAACAAGCTTAGTAGATTCATAAATATAAACTTTAGATGCTTACATGATGATCCGATGAGAAGTTGTAGAAATTTAAATACTATTTTCTATAAGAATTGAAAAATCAACGACCTAAGTTTCGATAACTCGGATGACTGAGTTCTTGATCTTAGCTGTCTGAGTTCTAGATATCGGCTTACCAAGTTTCCAACTCAACTGACCGACTTTTGATATTTCCAAGTTGTATAGTGTATGTCAGGTTGAGTGTTTGTTGAATATGGACAGTATAACTAGATTAATAAGTAGAAACAAGAAATATTTCACCTTTCTCAACAATAATTACCTTTGTTGGTATGTAATTCTTGAGATTATCTATTTTAGCATGGAATAAAGACATTTTTCGTCTTCACAACGATAATTCACCTTTGGTGTATCGGTCGAACTTGCAACCTCTTCACCTTTGTCAGCCTTCATGGATGACTTGTAATTAGTTAATCGTTATTTGAAAACGAACTAGTAATTAAGATCTTTGCTCTTTTATTTTATGTTTTGTAATTTTGGATTTCGACAGATAATGATTTTGGTTAATTTGTGTTATTTGAAGTTGTTTTGGTCAGAAAGTTAAAATGATAGTTTTTCTAATTCAATAGATCTGTTCAATAACTTTACCAAACATCACCTCTTAACGAATTAGCACTGAATCATTCGATTTATACCAAACAACCCTTAATCAGGTCTTTTTATGAGATATGATAAAAACTTTGAAATCATATACACATCTCAAGTATTATTTTTTAGGGAACAGCTCAAAACTTAATCCATAAAATAATATTAAAAGACTATTTAAAACAATTGTCTTCAAACACATATGGAGTTTAAACTTGGAACCCCAAACGTGCATATCTCAACAAAAAAGTATAAATAAAAGACATGGGCTAATATTAAAGTATCATAATCCACATACCACTTTCCAGTTTTCAAGACTCATGAGTTATGATATAGGCCTTACCTCAGTTTGCATTGATAGAGCCCATAACTCGATTCCATAACCTGCAATTTCTCCAACCTCCTTTTGTCTTTCCTACCAGAAACAAAAATGGCGACTAATTTCTGGGCATCCACACACTAGTAAGATTCCGTTGCCCGCTTTCCCCCCTTCGATCACCTTCAATGTTAGGGTTTCGTGTGTTGAATTTTTGTTTGATCGTAACATTACTCCAGTCGGTCGATTTTCAAATAAACAAATCGGAATTGCTAATTGATAATTATGTTTATGGTTTTGTTTGTGCGTAGCAAGGAATTATTGGACCAAGAAGAAGTGGATGTGGTGCATAACCTCGATAGGGAGAGGGGAATTACCCTCGAAGATTTCAAGCTCATCAAATTGCAGATGACCAACTGTATGTACCTCTCTATCTGTGTGTATATCTAGGTCTAATTCCCTTTAAGTTTATATTTAATTGATTGAATCATCGTATCATTCTGGGGGGTTTTGTTTCTGTCTATCTGTTTCATTTTTGTTAAACTCATAAGTAGTTGATCATCTATCTGCATTACTATTGATCATAAGCTGTTGGATTGTGTCGATTATTACTAGCCAAAAGTTGCGGATTTTGCCAAATCCAGTTTGGGGTTTTTGGATATAACTATGCATTGTTGTGTATATATCCGATCGAGTAAGAAAAATTCTGGATTCTTAAGCTCGTATAAGATGGATTTGGATGCACCTTTAAGCCTCAAAAATCAGTTTAGAGCGTTTGAAAAAAAAAACTGCTCGTAATTATGATTTTCACTAAGAAGACGATTATTAAGATAATATCAAGAACTGTATTCTCGATTGATATACAATGCTCTTGTTTACGTCTAATATTTAGTCTTTAGTCTCTTAATCTTTGTATTTCTTCTCTTTTTTGTTTTTCCTTCCAGACATTGCGAGATTGGCTCAAAATGTGAAAGTGAGGCAAAGGTTAGCCTCAAGTTTTTGTTGCTATAAATATTTTTTTCACTGTATTAGCTTCTCTCTTTCATGTCTTCTTGTCATAGACCTTTAATCCATCCATAAAACCCATTTGTCATTGATCATGATCTTTAGTCTAGGCATGTTATCATGTAGTTCACAATGTTTTCTCAAATTATTTATTATGTTGCAGTAGTGTATATCATCATTTCATTGGTTACTATTTCAGGGTTGTTGCAACTGCTGTAACATATATGAGACGTGTTTATACAAGGTATTTATTTCTACTTTCTTTGAGGCCCCTTTTGTTATATAGGAATATTTGTCCCACTTTCTCTTTACAAAAGACGTTAATACCCTCGTCTTTTTTTTCAATCTTTACAGGAAAAGTATGACTGAATATGACCCTCGTTTACTTGCTCCATCTTGCTTGTACCTGGCAGCAAAATCTGAAGAAAGCACTGTGCAAGCAAGACTTCTTGTATTCTACATAAAAAAATTCTGTAATAATATATATATATATATATATATATATATATATATATTTTTATAACTTTCTCTTAATAAACATTCAACTATGGAAAATGGTGGTGTTGAGCAATATGTCATTTCTTTGTAGATGCAGATGAAAAGTACCGATGTGAAATAAAAGAAATACTTGAAATGGAAATGAAAATCTTGGAAGCTCTCAACTATTATCTTGTTGTCTTCCATCCTTATCGTGCATTATCTCAGTAAGACCCCATTTCTTTTTTCCTTTTTTATTAAAAATATATTTTGAGAAAGTTTTGAGTTTTGTGTTAAACAGGTTGGTTCAAGATGCTGGGATGAGTGATGCAACTCAGTTGACTTGGTATTGACTTTTTTTGAACATGTTGGTTTAAAGTTTTAACATCTTTACATCAATCTTGATTTTGTTTTTATGAAATTGTTGATCAGGGGACTTGTGAATGACACATATAAGACAGATCTAATTCTGGTGCATCCACCACATCTGATTGGATTAGCCTGCATTTATGTAGCCAGTGTACTCAGGGAAAAAGAGAACACTGCTTGGTTTGAAGATCTAAGAGTTGACATGAATGTGGTAAAAGCTTTGAACTCATAATTGTTTTGGTGATATTATGAATGTTTTGAAAGTGTTTATTGAGTTATTTTGTTTGATAGGTGAAGAACATAGCAATGGAAATACTTGATTTCTATGATGCCCATAAAATGATAACTGATGATAGAGTGAATGCTGCAATGCACAAGCTCACCATAAGAACTTAAAAAGGTCAGCTGGATTTTGATTTTGATTTTTTTGTTACATCCATTAAAATGGCTACTATATTTGAACTAGTATACATTCCTCCCATTTTATACAAAATTCAAGAGTGTCAATTATTTCAAGTTTCTATGTTTTTCTCTTTTCACCTTTTGAAAGAATCATTAATTAGTAAACCCTCTTGTTGGTTGAATTATGGGCTTTTATATCGCATCCACCCTTTATTTGTTATAACTTATAGTAACAACCAGCATAATCTTTCAATGTCTTGTATGAAACAGCAATTATACCTATTCCCATATTTATTTATATCGCAACTTCAATTTCCTTTTTTGGTAAGTTATATACTCTTAATGAAATACTTTTTTGATAATTAAAGAGGCTTCACCTATTTAGACACAAGGAGTGTAGCACATGCAAATTCATTTTTTGCTTTTGTAGGTTTCTATGAAAATGGGATGAGCGCATGACCATAATAGTGCTCCCTTATTCATGAACATGAATCATGGCTCAAATGTTGTAAGCCACCGTTGATTTTGTTGGACTATTTAAGAGATATACACTAAGTTGAGGTTCAAAGCGAAAGCTACCTTAATGTATGCATAATGCTGATAAAGTCTAAGTGGGGGATTGTTGGAGTATTTTCTTTAAACTAACAAACCAAGTCCTACATAGGTGGGGGACGAAACTTTTTGGAAGGGTTTACAACTTGAAGTACTTTTGAATTATTTGAAAAACAATCATTACCCTTGATAGAATTCTGTGGACATCTGTCGATATTGAAGTTTGATTAGAAGAACCATATCAATTAGCCATTGGTACAACACAACAAAGATTAAATAAGAATATGTGAAAATGGATCGAAAATTGGTAAACTGAAACAAATATAGATCTTAAAAATGAATTGCAATCTATACGACAGGTTAGTCGCATATAGGTTGCTTTGATAGAGAAGAAATTGAAACAAAATCAATAAATCAGAAATGATTAAATGAGATTTTCTAATATATGCCCTAAGGGCACATATATGAAATATTAATTATGGGATTATTACGATAATTAAATACGAAATGAATTATTTCTAGGAAACATTTCTAATTTAAAAATATGAAATGTATTTATTATGAAAAATATTCCTTATAATTAATACATCTTACATTTAATTATGGTAATATTTTTCATAATTAATGTTTTTTATATCTATATTTAGGACATATTAGAAACTCTCATTGTTCCAACTTTTAATGGGGAAGAAAAAACTACCAGGAAAGCTATGAAAAGTGACAAATATCGGAGGAAAGCTATTCAGAAAGTGGTATCTTGTAAAACATTATCTTACCCAAACATGTTTTAAGCGAACAATAAAAAATCTTTTCGAATCATGCAACATCCTTGGAGATATATCTCAAATGGTAAAATCATAATGTGAAAACTGAAAAGTATATGACATCAACCATAAACCCCAAAGATCTTCATTTTAATCATTTTGATGAATAAACCAAATAAGATTATGTCAAAAAAATAGTAACACCTTTTTATGCTCATTGTCATGAATAACGGATTCCTACGCGTGCATAGTGTTTTGCATCAACGAATTTTCGTATTTTTATTTTCGTCATGCTTTCTAAATTTTTATGTGATATATCAACTCTCAACTAATAGGTGTACTATCTTCATCCGTTTTCCTGAAAGTTTGTGAAATGTGTGAAACAAATAGACATGTAGTTGCAGAAGTAAACTCATTAGTAATGGTAGGTTCTATTTGTTATTTGTTTTCTTTTGATATAAAGAAATATGAGGTGGAGAGTATTTTTACCATATGTTGGTAAATAAATAACAAACTACATCGATTGATGTTTACTTATTTATTTATTTATTTATTTAATTTTTTTTTTGATGTACCATCATTTGGTTAATTTTTTTTAGGATTGTCAAAGTAGTATAATTTAACAAAATTGCCACCCAACTATTTAACACATCCAAACAAACCATCAATGTATCAAATTGGATTCACTTACATCGAACTATGTGTCACACCCCCAAACCAAAACGGCGGAAACGTTCGGGGGTGGAAGACGTCATGTGTAGTATCATAACAATTGCATCATAGTAATCAAAGTAAACACAACCATTACATTGAATAAGTAAAATATTTACATCTGTTTGATACATAGTTTGTATACATCAAAAGTATAGCAAAATATAAAAGACGTAACTCTATACGCTCCGTCTTCTCAAAAGTCTGCGGGAGTATCTGTCTACTGATTTCCTGAGAATACAAACGGTTTTGAAAAGAGTATCAGTATTAAAGCTAGTGAGTTCATAAGCAATGTCTTTGTAATGAAAACCTGTTGATGAATCTGTGAAAATGTTTGTATGTTTCCAAGAAAATCCAATATTTTCTTTAATGAAAGTGTGATAATACCAGTTCCTTCTATGACTACTTCGTTCATACTAATTATATATAAACCAATATCGAACAGACAATTGATTATGTGGTTCTGTCTTAAGCCCACAACCAAACAAGGAACAGGAAATGAGGCGGAAACCACACATTCCACAGTCTATCGAATATTCTTCATACATAACCCAGATGCATAAACTAAAGAATTATAGAACTAACGATGTATGTTTATTACTGTATCCTGTTGTGGTATATGAAAAATGTTAGTTTTTATGCTTGGTTACAACCAGATGTATTGTATGATGAGTTCTATATGAAAATCCTGTATAGAATGTTCTGTATGAAAAACCCTGGCTACCACCAGTATGTATAGTACTTTTGTTACTTAAAGCAAAACCATGTATTCAAATTCCCTCGAATTCTCCAGTTGTAATGTATGATAGTTCTATTAATGAAAATAAAACTAATTGAAGAAATGAATTTTCGTAGACAAATGGTTAGTTTATACTATTGTGAGTTTTCATAACCATGCTTGATATGACCTAGTGACCTTTACGACGTTCTTCAAGTGTCAGATATATGACATTTGTCACTTCAGGCATGCCTGCCTAACTGTAGCTAGCAGTTCAGGTGTGAGATTGTCAGTCCCGAATAGATCTATTCACAAATCTCACGCTCTCCCTCCAGGAGACTCTGGTTATACTATGTTAGGATTTAGTTCAGTACCCCGAAGGATACAAATTGAAGTAGTGTCTCACAATCCTGTATTAACTAGTTTACGTGTTGTTTAGTATCGTTCTCTTATACTTTGACTCGTATATATGCTTTACAGAGTAGTAATAATTATATTTAAATAATCATTTAGTATGGTACTCTTGTATTCAGAAAGCAGTAATGTATACCATAAACTATATCTGTCATAGTTTATATGATAGTTAATGTATAATCCTGAAATGGTAAAATTGTGTATTGAATTCCCAAACTATACCTATTATAGTTCGTATGCATGTTAAGTACTCGATTTGTGTAATGTTCTGAAAACTATGCAATTATAGTTGCGAGTTGAAAACTTCCCTTATGCTCAGCATGTTACAAAAGGGATAAGATATTTAAACATTTTATAAAAGGTGTAATCTTTTGTTTGTATCAATTGCATAAGTTTTGATCCTGTTTGTGATTCTATGTATAAAGTTCATAAAAAAACTATTTGAATTTAGCTTGTATCCCCCCTGAAAACGTTAAAAATAATAAAAGTGTAGGGGCATGAACTCACAGTTGGATGCGTGTTTGTCGAACAACGAGACTGGAAATGAGGACCCTCGAGTTGTTGTACGCGGAGTTAACGGAATCCTAATGATAGTTAAACACATATTTGGGGCTGATTGCGGCCGTGAAAGGACTACGATCGTGAACTGTTCTCGGCCGTGAACGGTTCTCTGCCCTTGAAGGGTTCACGGTCTTTGAAGGGTTTACGGTCTGTTCTTGGTGTTATTGAAGGAAATATGAAGGTTTGAAGGGTTCACGGCCGTGAACTGATTTCGGCCCTTGAAGATTTGAAGATTTGAAGGGTTTACGGTCGTGATCTCAAGAACAACAATGCTTGATTCGACGAAAAGACGGATGCTTGCTGCTCCAAAACGAGTTCTAAATTGGATTGAGTGGTAGATGAAGAGAAATCTTGGGTTTTTCGGGTGGTGGTTTTTAGAGAGAGAGTGTGGTTTTCGGCCAGAAAAGTATAAATGAGGGTAGAACACACATATATATAGGCTGGGTTTATGGTCGGTGGTGGGGCCCACCAGCCGTGAACAGTTTACGGTCGTGATCGGGTTCACGGCCGTGAACACCAGCCTGACCGGACTTTGCTGATTTTCGAAGAAAAACTCAGGTTTTCGCGATTTTGGTTCCGACTCTTATATAAAATCTATGTATATAAATAAAACGATTTTCTAAACCATAAGAATTTAACGGAACAAATAAAATTCAAAATTTTATTTAACGAAATTTGATTAACGTTGACGGAAAAAGGTTCGGGTTGTCACATCATCCCCCCGATAGAGGAATTTCGTCCCGAAATTCTAAAACGAATACAATTATGGACTAGGGAAAGAGATGTGGATACTTCTGTTTCATCTGGTCGTCGCGCTCCCAAGTGAATTCAGGTCCCCGCTTGGCATTCCAGCGAACCTTCACTATCGGGATGCGACTTTGTTTCGTTCGTTTGACTTCCCTATCCATAATTTCGACTGGCTCTTCCACGATTTTAAGACTCTCATTGACCTCGATTTCATCGTATGGAATTACAAGAGTCTCGTCGGATAGACACTTTTGAGGTTTGACACGTGGAAGACGGGATGTACGTTGTTAAGTTCTTGGGGTAAACGAAGTTTGTAAGCTACGGGACCGATCCTAGCGAGGATCTCGAATGGTCCAATGTATCTCAGATTTAGCTTTCCATGCTTTCCGAAGCGTATCATGCCTTTCCGGGGTGAGACCTTTAACAGGACGCGGTCACCAACTTGGAACTCCAAATGTTTTCGTCTTTTGTCTATCTTTTGAAGTCTTTAGTCTTTCCCGGATTTGTACGATCTTTTCTATGGTTTCATGGATGATTTATGGGCCTGTGAGAGTGCTATCGGGGACTTGTCCCTTAGCTAGCTGCGTGTCACCCACCTCAGCCCAGCACAGAGGGGATCTGCACTTACGGCCATAGAGGGCTTCAAACGGCGCAACCTTGATACTGGTATGATAGTTTTTGTTGTAGGAGAACTCGACCAAGGACAAATGGGTATCCCACGACTTACCAAAGTCGATAACGCACGCTCTCAGCATGTCTTCTAGGGTTTGGATGATCCTCTCACTCTGCCCATCGGTCTGTGGATGGTAAGTTGTGCTCATATCCAGCTTAGTTCCAAGAGCCTTCTGCAAAGACTGCCAAAATTTCGAGGTGAATCTGCTATCTTGATCAGAGATAATGGACACATGTACACCATGCAGTTGAACTATCTCTTGGATGTGTATTCGGGTCAGTCTCTCCATCTTGTATGTTTCTTTAATTGGCAGGAAGTGGGCAGACTTAGTCAATCTGTCGACGATTACCCAGATACTCTCATGGCCACTCTGGGTCTTTGGCAACTTGGTAATGAAGTCCATTGTGATTCGTTCCCACTTACACTCAGGTATTTCTGGCTATTGAAGTAGACTTGAGGGCTTTTGATATTCCACCTTCACCTTGGCGTAAGTCAGATACTTGCCCACGAAGGTAGCAATTTCTGCTTTCATGTTTGGCCACCAATATAGCTTTTTGAGGTCC